GAGAGGAGAGGAGCGAGATAATAGATAGAAGAGGAGAGGAGAGGAGAGGAGAGGAGAGGAGAGGAGAGGAGAGGAGCGAGATAATAGATAGAAGAGGAGAGGAGAGAAGGCTGGGGGAGGGAGGAAAGAAGAGGAAGAGGAGGAAATGAAAGGGTGAGAGCGAGGACAGAAGAGGGAGGGACGCGGGTTGAGAGGGAGAGGGGCAGGGGAAGCGAAAGTGGTCAAATTGTTGAGAGAAGGGATAAAAGTAAAACAAGCAAGATTCAATGCTGTTGTTAGGAGAGCGTGTAGCGCTTGGTCCCTTTGCTCTCTTGTCCATTGAGTGATGGCCCTTGACGGCAGGACGAGACTCGGCAGCCAGACTCTTGAAGCTTAGGCTCACTCTCAGAGATGTCTAGGAAGATGAGAAACCCTCCAGCCTCCCTGGGGACGCTCGTCACGCGGTCGCAGCTGATGCTTCTCTTCTTCGTCCTCCTCATCATGGCTTGGAACTCTATCTGGCTCAGCAGCTCCGGCTTCCGCAAGATCGAGCGCCAGGACGTTCTGACCCGTGTGCAGGAGCAGGTGAAAGCTGCCAAGGCGAAGGGAGAGAAGGACAAGGAGCGAGGAGAGGAGAACAAGTGCACTCCTGTGGTAGCTCGACTGAGCGAGCTCGAGCGCTACGGGGTGGAGTCAGGACGCGCCATGTCTGGCTCTCAGCTCTCAGACTTCATCCTCAAGGCTCTGGAGACTGTTCCTCAAGGTCTGCCGCTCTGCTCGCTACCCTTGCACTTACTTGCCCGCAGATACCAAGCCGCTCTGCGTGATGGAGGTCGGGACGGCAGACGGGACGGGGACGACGGTGCAGCTGGTGAACGCTCTCTCCAAGTTCTGCGGGAAGCACGGAAGAGACTGGCAGCTGGTGACGTACGAGGGACTGACGTCCTCCTTCAATGAGGCTCAGATGCACTGGAATGAGCAGAGAAACGTCAAGGTGGTGAACGAGCTTGTGATGACCCGCGAGAAGCTGCAGCAGTTCGTCCTGCCCAACATCGAAGGAGGGGAGGGGTCCGAGTGGCCAAGCAAGCAGTTCTACCGCAACTTCTACCAAGGGATCGACAAGCAGATCGCCTCCCGCGAGGTCGCCAGCTGGTTCCAGACGCGCCCGCTATGCAAGCCGGACATGGTGCTGATCGACAGCACGCGGTTCGCTCACCTTGGAATCATCGCGACCATCCTCGACACGCCAGGGATGGCGGATGAGCGGACGGTGTTCCTGATCGAGAACGACTTCTGGAAGAAGGAGGACGGACACGAGTGGGTGAAGGTGCGGTCGCCTCCCTCACGTTCACGCTGACCCTCCAGCAGCGAACCCAGCGGGAGATCATCGAGAAGGGCATCTACGTGGAGGCGCCGCTAGGTGAGGATCACCCCAAGGGCGAGAAGTGGCCATGGCTCTACTTCCGTGCGAGGATGAAGCAGCCATCCGCTGCTGCCGTCGCTGACCCCAAGGATCGCGAGCCTACACTTCCGCGTCCGCTGGTAAGAAGTGAACCCACAATCTTGGGAGAGGAGCGGAAGGAGGAAACGAGAAAGACTCAGAGCCGGGAGGAAGAGTCAGGAGGAGGGACGAAGAAGAAGTCTTGGATACAAGATGATGCCAATGGCGATGGCGATGGTTCTGCTCCACCTGCTAAGAAAGGTTCTTGTCCGTCGCTCCCTTCTCTTCCTCATGCTTTCTCAGGCACCTGCACTCAAGTCATCCCCAGTTTGAGCTTGACATCAGAACTGAACCTCTTCCTTCGCAAAGTCTTGAAGAGCGTCCCTGCCGGTATCTCCCTCTTCCCCCTCCCTCTCTCCTTCTTCTCGTCCCTCTTCCCCCTCCCTCTCTCCTTCTTCTCGTCTCTTTTCCTCTGACTCGGCTCATCTCTCGCCAACAGGCAGCTCCCCCGTCTGTGCTGTTCGCGTGGGAACGTCGGAGGGGACGAGCAGCACCGATCATCTGGTAGACGCCCTCAACAACCAGTGCGAGGAGAAGCAGCGAGACTGGAGCCTGACGCTCTTCGAGGGCCTCACCCGCATCTTTCAGGACGCGCAGTGGCGGTGGCAGGAGCAGGGCAATGTGAAGGTTATCAACGAGCTGGGCTTGAGCCTTGAAAACCTCCGCAAGTACGTCATGCGTAAAGTGGAAGGAAGCGAAGGGAACGAGTGGCCGAGCAAGGGCTTCTACTCCAACTTCTACGCCGACTTCGAGCGGCAGGTGGCGAGCAAGGAGCTCGGCCGTTGGCTGCAGACACGGCCTGGATGCAAACCAGACGTAGTACTCATCGACAGCACGCGGTTCGGGCACTTGGGAGTTATCGTGAGCATGTTGGAAGGGGAGGGCATCGCAGACGAGAAGACCATCTTCATCATCGAGAACGACTCGTGGGAGAAGGGAGATACCTTCAAGATCCTCGAGAGGTGGTTCCTTTCCCTCCACTACTCCTCCCCTCTATTCCTCCGCTGTCCCTCCCCTCCACGCTTTGTTTTTGCCCGCTGATCCCAACAAGTTCCGAGGACGCGCTGACGTCGTAGCAGGCATCTCAATCTGGATAAGATAGACAAGGAGCATCCCAAGGGAGAGCAGTGGCCTTGGCTCGCGTTCCGCGCACGCCCCCTCGACTAGACCCGTTGGGAACCCTGGGAGGGAAGGGAACAAGGAAGTCAGTGCGAAGAGCGGAGGAGATGTTGGATCGAGTCTTGAATGTGAAGAATAACAAGTCGAAGGTCGTCGTCGTCCACGTCTCGATGGAGAACCAACCGAACACACGTCGACCCGCCTTCATAGGAAGAGACCAGCACCCCTCTCCTCCTCATCTCCTCATTCAACCTCTCTGCCTTCAACCCCGAGCACGACAAGTCAAGGAAGACCATGTTGGTCGGGTGAGGCGCCGCGCGTTCCTCGAAGCCTCCGAGTCTCTTGCTGACTGACCTGAGCTCCTCTCGTAGCTCCTTTGCTCGCCGATGATCCTCCCTCAGTCGCTCCTTGTACCCCTCCAGCCCGTACAGCCCTGCAGCCGCAAGCATCCCCGACTGTCGCATCGCTCCTCCCAACGCCTTCCTCCACCTCCTCGCGTGCGCTATGGTCGTCTGACTTCCAGCAAGAACGCTTCCTACCGGAGCTCCGAGCCCCTTGCTGAGGCACACGCTCACGGTATCGGCACAGGCAACGAGGGTCGAAGGCTCCTCGTCCAGCGCGACTGCAGCGTTGAGGAGTCGAGCTCCGTCGACATGGAGTCCAAGACCCGCAGCCTTGATCTTACGACCCATCTCCCTCATCTCCTCTCGTCCCACTGCTGTACCCAGACATCCTCCGTGCGTGTTTTCAAGGCACACGAGTCGAGGGATGGGGACGTGGGCATCTACAGAGGAGCAGAGAGCAGGAAGATCAGGCATGAGGATCGAGCCATCTGACGCGTTTGGCCAAGCAGTCAGGGCACATCCGCCCAAGGCGCTCACGTTCCTCTGCTCCCACCTGTAGACGTGACTGGCCTCGCCGGCGATCACCTCCTCCCCTCGTCCCGCTTGTGCGAGGATTGCACTCAAGTTTGCCATGGTACCAGAGGCCATCAAAACCGCGTCCTCCTTGCCCAGCAGCTTCGCAACTACTCCCTCAAGATGGTTTGTCGTGGGGTCTTCCCCATACACGTCATCTCCGACCTCCGCCTCTGCCATCCTCCGCCGCATCTCCCGGCAAGGCCTCGTCACGGTATCGCTTCGAAGGTCGACCACTTTTCCGGCAGCACCATGCTGGTAGGCTCGAGCTCTGCTCCTCGCTATCGTATGTGCCTCTTCCTTCGTCACCATCCCTCCGCCTCCTCCCCATCCTCTACTCCCTCCTCTGGATGCCCCTGCCCGCACAAGCGTCTGCATAACAACCTTGTATCTGAAGGTTTACTCACAAAGTTAAGTTAAAAAATGAGTACCGTATTTCATGAGCGAGTACTACTACTAGCCTAGTACCGGCGGTCACTGAGCCTTATCGGGGCCTCACGCCGAGTGACTGAACGAGTCCGACCCCGGTGAGTGAGCCTCAGTTACTTGAGGCTCTTCTAAAAGTTTGACTTAACTTTGAGTAAACCGGGGGAGGGGGGGGCGCCCGGCCGGGCCGGAGCCTCGGACTCAGTGACTCTGGCAGCAGGCTACGCCGGGTTGTCCGGGGCAGGGCCGGCCGCTGCCAGGATGCAAGATATAGGATTTACTGGCAGAAGAGAAAAAGTGCCTCAAGCAAAACAAAGCAGGAACAGAGCGGACGTCTCGACTGACAGTGGTCAGTCGGCTGCCTCCGGGTATCGCGTCTAAGGGATTTTATTCCTCCTGCATGCTCCTGCTGCTTGTTGCTTGATTGCCTGACCCTTAGGCTGCTTGTCTGCGCGGCTTCGCGCTTGGGCTGGCGCTGCCGCGCAGACAAGCAGCAGTGCTGGTTCTTTTCGGGCTTATGTTTTGAATAGTGGATTTACTGGCAGAAGGTAAAAAGTGCCTCAAGCAAAACAAAGCAGGAACAAGCTAAACCTCCTGGCACACAGCGCACAGCGAG